TTCATTCTCAGTAAAGCCCAAAGTCCCAAACAGAATCTGACAGATTAAAAATGGAAACAATACCATATGCAAATGCCATGGTTCTGTCATGTACTCTATGATCAGTACTAGACCTGATTTTATCTTTCATATCACTCCTAAGTAGATTCATGTCCAACCCTGGGTGTGTGATCACTGGAATGCTCTGAAAGGCTACTAAGATACATTAAAAGTACAGAAAATGTTGGTCTAATTTCTGTTAAAGAAAACTCCACACTTGATCTGGTTGGGTATGTAGATTCGATTTTGCAGGTGATAGAGATTCGCGGAAATCCACACACAGCATATCAGTTTACCTGGAGGAAACTGCATCAGCTGAAGTCCCAAACTGCAACCATTGGTAGCTTTGTCCACAACTGAAGCTGAATACGTTGCTGTAACGACGCATTCAAAGAAGCCATATGGCTACAAGGATTCCTGAAAGAAGCCAAGTGTGGAGGAACGTGACAGTATATTCAGACAGTCAGAGTGCCATCCATCTGGGAAAGAATCCGTGTACCATGAGAGAACAAAACACGTGGATGTAAGGTATCATTTTGTGAGGATATGATCTCCAAAGAGAAGTGAAAACTGCAGAAGATTCCAACTGAAAACAACCGGCAGACATGGGAAACAAGGTTGTGACAATTGCAAAGTTCAAGCACGCTTGAATTATTACATGTGGGATAACCAAAAAATCAGAATAAGAAGGAGTATGGAAATGCCGCTGCTAACCTGACTTTACTGAAAAGACTTCCGCATACTCAAGGTGGAGATTGTTAATAATGAAGTATAACGACGGTTTTAACCGGAAACAAAACGCTGCCGTTTTGTTAACACCCAAATGAATCTCAGCCATCAACAATAAAGAGAATCCAACGGTCAAATGGTTCAAAAGTCAACAGGATAAAAGGGACTATTCACGCATTAAGGGTAATCGAGTTTTTAGGTTATTCGTTTCTTCTCTGAAAAATTGGTGGGTGGTCTGTGTTAGGGTTTACATACTCATTCTGGTTTATCTTCTCTGTGTGAATCCTTTAGAGTTGTGTTTGAGGGCAGGGGTTCCTTGAAGGTTATAGAGCACTCTAGAGTTGTTAGGATTTGCGGGATACAGAGAGTGAGTGAGTGATTGTTTCTGAGATTGTTAGTGAAGAAGATTCTTCGTAAAGTGTAATACTTGGGGATATCAATACTAGTGCAGCGAGCTCCAATTCTGGAGTTCAACGTGGATGTAACTGTTCTATCTTGAACAAGCGAACCACGGTATATCTTGTGTGTGTGTGTGTGCCTTGTTTTTGCAGATCTTGGTTTGCTTTGTGGTTAATCTGCAGGTTGAAGATTGTTCGTTGTTTACAACCAGTATCTCAGGTACACTCTTTCCAGACTAAGATTAGAGTAGTTTATAGATGGTCTCGAAATTGAATAAAAATTCATTTATGCATAGGATAAAAAAATATAAAAAAAATCCGAAAACTGGTGGCTTAAATATGAAGAAGATGATAAGGGTACTGGCCAAGTCCCTATTTTCCAGTCTGTCAAGCTCAGTTAATGGTTGATGTTGTGTGGGGAGGAGGAGTTTTCAGTGGTAACAATCAACTTAGTCCTGCCATGGGAAATGGCCATTATTCTTATGAAGGTTTCAAAAAGGCAGCTATATACAAGAACCTCAAAATTTGTTGATGAATCCAACAAACTGCGATATCTTGATGAAAATATAATAAACTTTTCAGACTGCTCCTGGTGGTAATTGCGTTGCAGGAATGCTTAATTAATATAAGAATAATTTGTCAATTAGTTTTGAACTATTGATATAGATGTTAAGTTAATCCTCGCCATTAACAAGACTAATTAAAGTACTTAACAGTAAGACCTGTTTCATCTCCTAAAAACAAAGTCTCCAGTAATAAATATGAGCATTAATGATGTGGGTTCATTCAATTATTATTTATACTTGTTGAAGATACGTATATCTTGTATTAACTATCTATTTTCTGATATTCACACGATTACAGATAAGTCTTTTTCAGAGACAATGTAAACTCTACTGACTTACTGTATGACATAATTTCTCTTTATTAGTCAGCAATAACAATACACAGCTTTCATGTCTCATAAGCTGCAGCCAATTACCGTTGAGTCTGACAGCTGTTTACAGTGAATCGATGTCACCAATGGCCTTCATTAAGACGAGACAATGCTTCTCTTATTGTTTTTCTTTCAACTACTTTGCCGCCCATTCCCATAATAATAATCACTATTCCTATTGATACGTCACCTGAGGCTGAGCCCCCCTATTATTAAATAAAGAGTAAACGACATTTCCCACCAAGGTTTGCCAATCAATTTCCCACCAAAAGTTTAAATACCAAATTACATCCGAACGTCATGCTACGTTAGTAAATCCATTAAATACGTGATTTAACGTGTGAAGACAGAAATGCCTCTACAGTATGTCATATCAAGGCAGCCAATTCATATACACTCTCTTTTTAATTGTGTAATTACGTAATACCCCAACTATGTGTAAAGTTAAATTACCAATTGTCCTTAATGCAAAAATCAATCACTAACCGTTGAGATTTTAAAATTTTGAAGCAGTTAATATAACCATTTTGTCCAGTTTATATAATAAGTACATATTAGCAAGAGTGAGATTTGAAAATCACAATACAATTCCTTGAATTGAAACCCAAAAGAAGCAATTGCGATGCTACAAGTATTTCAATCTGGGTAAATAAACAAGCAGGTTTAATCACAAAATGGAGTTAAAATCACGTCATTGTACCTGTAAAAAATCTCATTAAAAAAATAAAAAGCCAATTAATTTATTGGCACAATTCTCACTTAAAAAATTAAACAAATTCAGCTCCATCTCCCTAATGCCACCTCATAAATCTAACGATAGTAATATATATATAGAGCAAAAATATGAATAGTATTCGATCTATTGTGGGTGACAAACATGGTTAATGAACACGAGGCTATAATTATGGTGCTTCATGTACTCCAAACCCTTGATGATCTCCAAAGGTTATGACCTGAAATAGATTAAACTTATAATAAATATAGTATACAAATAATTAACCAGCATTAAACAAAAAAATTTCCAACCAAAACAAGTAAAAAACAAGCCATTTTTAACTCAGAACCATCAAAAATTCACCTCTTCCAAAACAAGTGCAGTTTGGAACAAACGATACAACTTAAATAACAATACATGTCTACACTCTACAATAATTTTGCATTGTGATTTACTGATTTACCGTTTGATAAGCAAATTATACAACCAAAAGGATCCTCATATTACATTTTATCTTTGATACTATGCATATGAGCATATCTTTAAATATATCTTAACTTCCAACTAACTGAACCGTATAAAAGCTTATATTAGCTGGAAGCGTTACAAACTTAATTATGTTTTTTGATAAAGCATCAAGAACAACCTAGAAAGAACTTCCTTTAAGGGTATCGAATAAGCTAATTGGGTAAAATAATCATATGGACTAATCAAATTAAAAATAAAAGTAAAACTTTGCACTAAACAAACATCAATCAGATCTGGAAAGTAGAGCGGCAAAGAAACAATTGAATACAACCTTCAGTACAGCTTCATTGCACACTTCACTGGAAGGAACATTCAGATTGCAGAACCAACTCCGCAAATCAAGGCAAGACCTGACACCAAGTCCTATTTTACCATCTTCTGTGTAACAAAAGTGCTTGTCTTGCAGCAGCTCATCCAAAGTTTATTCCTTCTGAGACATTGTGAAATTTCTTAATGCAGCAAGGGCATGAACAACATTTTGTGACTGTGATCCCATACCAGCAAGAACATGAAAATGTACCTTGAGAATCATAAAGTACTAAACCTATGTACACGAAAACAACAAACAAATCTTCCTGTCACTAACCCATTTGCAAACGAAAACAGCAAAACGAAAACCACATTTTTTTTCCATACAACCTACAGTAAACGAAACCAACAAAGGTGAAAAAAAAGATGACTACCTCCAATCCTCCACAAGTTCAACCACTCACAAACGCAAACCCTATCATTACCAGCCTCATTGAGGAACGACTTCAAAAGCAATGAGTCAGTAGACCAACTGTCATTGACCAAAGAACTTGCCGTTCATCGAAAAAACTAGTCCTTTGCTGAAAAAACTCTCTGATAACAACCGCAAACCCTTATCGTCAACACTGTAAACGAACCCAAAACTCCAAATCGCCAACCACAGGTCCACCCCGTCAGTCTACCTTGTCATTAACACTCACTGGTCGCTGTAAACAATCACCGGAATGCAGTTGAAGCTGTCAGCCACTCAGCCAGAACCCAAAAGTCGCCGCTTCCAAAAAACGCAAAAGCCATCGTTTCTTTTGTTTTTCTTTCTAAATTCAAGTACCCTGGACACGTGCAACGCCTTAGCCCACAACTTCAATTTTTTAATAATAAAATGACCATCTTGCCCATGAATTTTGACCATCTTACCCTTCTTTATAACTAAATTTACTGACAAAAATATGTTGTGGGTGGTAGTTTGGTATTATGAAACTTTTTGGGTGGGAAAGTTATTAAGGCAAATCTTGGGTGGGAAATAGTAGTTTACTCTATAAATAATAACTCATACAGCTCTATTGCGTTTACTACCCTATTATGTAGTGGGAGTTGAGTACGACAGAGATGTATTATTATTATTATTATGACGAATGGGCTGGCAAAGTAGTTCAAAGAAACACATACAAATTTACTGATTGATACAACTTATAAACAGCATTGTGTTTGTGGCTGAGCCTCCCCTATTATAAGTTACTTCCTGCAAATTTATAAACATATCTATGACCATAAAGAATTAAGAAGAAGAAATTATCTCAGTGCAATTACATGAAAAGAAAATGGAAATTTCACCAATTGATGCATACATTATTTATCTTTAAACTCTTATATTCACTATGTATAATAAAATATGGAGAGTACATTTATACCAAGAGGAAAAAAAAGTTACAGTATTTGAGTTACACATTTGAGCAGCAAAGGTCCACTGGTTCCAGAGAAAACCTATGTGTCAAGAGACAGTCTCTTGTACAACTCAAAATGGTTTAATTCCACATAAGAATCTTTGACAAAGATGTATCTGACGTAGACCAACCATGCATTTTGCCTTAAAAATGGTGGTGTAATATTATATTTATTTTCCAAGGACTCCAAAGGGCGACTGGTAATACCGTGATTTATTTATTATGACAAACACCCTCATGACTTTGCCATATTTATAAGAGTTACATCATTAAATTAAATATGTGATAATGAATACCACAAATTATTGTAAACGCCTTTATATGCACATATTAAAATAAACACCATTCAAACCAAAGACTCTGACTTAAGCAACTCCAGCTACCATTTCAACACCCTGGCAGTTACCATTAAAGCCCACAGTACTGTTATTACCTTTGCATATCTTTTCCACTATTGGCTTCAGCTCCCTCGGCTGCACATTTACCAGCAGCCCGTACTTCATGAACAATGTCAGTGACATTTTCTGCTCCACACGGTGGCCCGGCACCACTGTCAGACGGTGGCGCAATAACACTGCCGCCGCTATCGACTTCATTTGTAAATAAGCCAAATCTTTCCCCAAACAAATTCTTGGACCAGCATTAAATGCAACAAACTTGTATGAATCTTGTGCCTCAAACTTTTTACCATCAGAATTTAACCACCTTTCTGGCTTGAATTCCAAGGAATCTTCACCCCAGATAAATTTCATCCGCCCCATTGCGTAGATTGAGTATGTGACAGATGAACCCGCCGGAACAAAAGTTCCTGTCGGCAAGACATCATCGGAAACCACGTGCTTTGAGTCTTGTGGGACCGATGGGTACAGCCTTAGTGTCTCAGATAATGCTGCCTTGAGATAACTCAACTGGTCAACTTCGTCAAACACTAATGGTTCCTCTACCCACTTGGATATGTCTCTGCCACGTGTCTCCATCAGGACGGTGCAAATTTCGATGAGGATTTTCTCTTCCACTCTTGGATTTTGACTGACCAACCAGAAGAACCAGCTCATTGCCACTGATGAGGTGTCACGTCCAGCTAGGATAAAGTTGAGTGCCACGTGTTGAAGAAATGCGTCTGAGTATGACTCTCTCTTCTTCATAAACCTGGACAACAAGTCATCATGTGGGGTCCCACCTTCCTGCCGGCTCCCCAACTCCAGCTTACGTGTACTGATGATGTCGGATAGATAAGCGTCCATGTCTTGAAGGCTTTGGCTCATGCTGTCTTCCATGCCAAGCCGAAAGTACTTTCTGAGCCGCCATATAGGTCTGGGCAAAATAAAGCGTTGAAGTGTGGCTTCAGTGGCTCTGTCAAACGCCATTGCGAAGCCGTTTTCGGGAAGCCCTGGTGATAGCGTCTCTGGGTCTTTCCCAAAAGCCAAGCCACATATGTTATCGAAAGTGATCCTGAGCAAAAGGTCTTGAAGATCAACCTTCTTGGCTTGAAGCTGAGCCGTTTCAAGAATCGGGCAAAATCTATGCTTTATTGATCGGTTCACCCACCGAGCCATGGCTTGGCGCAAAGTCCTGGTCGTGAATTCCAGTGCAGCAGTCTTACGCTGGAACCGCCACGTGTCTCCATCAGAATTGAAGATCCCATCACCAAGCAAATCATGGAATGCAGATTGCCAATTGGGACCCTTTGGATAATTATCAAATCTGGCCTTCAAAATGTGCTCCACGTTTTTGGGTTCACACGTGACAGTCACGAGACCCTGCTTCCGACTCAGAAATGGAATGGCAAAGATACATGTCTGGTACGTGCCGCCACACGCGCGGAGATTGTCCGAAATCCAGTCATGCATACGATTAGCGTTTTGGATGAGGCCAGGGAGGCTGCCCAATAGTGGCCAAACACGTGGACCACTCAGCGATCGTGATATGAATTTGAACCATATTAAATAAGCCGCTAATGCTGTTAAGAGCATTAAAGCTGTTGTTGTATCCATGTGACCTGCAGAACCACGTAATAAATTGTGTACGTTATCACACCAAAATAATTCTTCCTTCAAGCTATATCCCGGAAGAAAGACAGAAATCCGAATTCTATTCTCCTAAGTAACCAAAGAAATAAAAATAAAAATATAGTATTTGTTGGAATGTAGCTTTCAGGATTGAAATGCGTGAATGTGAAGCTTAACACTTTGAGAAAAATGGAGAAAAGAAACTAAACTCTGATTACAACTAAACCCAGATGATCAGAGTTTCTGTAAATGGAATGGAACAAAAAACTGAGACTAAGAGTAAGAGGAGGTTTACTGTTGGGATGTGAAGAAGGAAGAGAAAGAAGAAGAAGTGGAGGAGGGAAAGAACGAGAAGTGCATGTAGGAGTTGAAAGAAAAGTGATTTATAGATAAAGTGATTTGAAGGAGCATGTAAAAACAGAGAGCATTGAAGGCCCACCTATGTTGTTGAAATTGATATTAAGGTAATTAAAAGGCATCACTAAAATTATATCAACGTCTTACCATAAAATAATGGTGCTATACATTAACACACGAACTCAAAAGGAGAAAAGAAATGCTCACCTAATTTTGTAGGAGCTTCTTCTCCACCTTAAATTCTAGCATTCAATGAAGAAGTTAATGAAATTAGTTGAGAACCTATCTACACCAATACAAGTCTACCTATCTTGTATTGTTTTTGAGGGAAAAAATTACAGGAATAGGATTAATTTGTGTTAATCGTCGGTGGTTTCCAAGTTGTAATTCATTAATGAAAATGGTTTCTTCATGCAAGTGACCCGTTGGGTTCGTTGAGCAACTCAAAACTTTTATTGCTACAGCCAGCCACCAGTTTTATAAATCATCCAAAGTCAAAAACTTGTATGCATGAAATATGATTAATCAATGAGATCATTTTCTGTTCTTTAGTAGCTTGATATTATTAAAGTTCATAAAATAATTAAATATTGCAGCCGACTCTCTCATTTTCTTTTCGTAGAATTATATATTTTTAAGATAATTTTATTCCATGAAGACTCCAGAAACGAGCTCAACATGAATTTAATGAACTTATTTGAGAACTCCATAATGAAAAGGTTGAAGAGTTTGGTCATATCTAGATAAGATCATTAAAAAGCCAAAAAAATGTACGTCTGTATGGCCATTTTCATCTGAGAAATTTATATATATATGTTATGCCTGGGAAAATAAGGGCTGACGTGGGAAAGTCACGTGAAGAGTGACCTGCTCCCGTCAGGGCAACACGCACACGTCAGACCTGCTACATGATATGGGACTCACACGCGTCCCTTTCCCCTGCAATAAATCATGCGAAATCAGCTTGGGAAGAGAGCAATGAGACATAAAGCCGGATTATATCCTGACAATCACACGAACCCATGGATTTAATGATAATTACACGCTTCAGCTNATATATATATCAATGTCCCACATGTGGAAAATTTCATCGATGTTACGGCCTTTTATACGTCCCAAAAGGAGCAATGATCGATCAAATCCCATTAAATGAACTAAAACATAATTAGCATGAAATTTTAGGTATTTTTCGTTTTCTGCTTGATATGTCAAAACAAACTAGTCTTACTCACCTCTTCAATACTGTATGATGTTACCTTAAAGTCCACCATTTTCATAAATGATGAGTGTTATGCCTCGAGTGTTACACCTATGCCAGTCTAATAAATATCTTTTTGTACTAGCTGTCAAACCTATATCTGTTCAAAGATATTTATACCAACCCTATCTCATTTCAAGAGATGAATGGACGAGAGTCTTCCATGTGTCAAGGTAACTTGCAAAACACTCCTTACATTGAGTTTAGAGGTGTATAAATTGACACTTCTCTTCCTGAAAAAGGGAGATGGGCATATGAGAGTTAAAGTATAGATAAGATCTCAATTATTTCTCTCTGTAAACACTGTATTTCTTCATCTTTGTATGCTTTATGGGCAAAATCATAGAAATAGTCATAGATCAATAAAATAACAGTGGATGTAGGAGTCGCTTGTTTGAGCATCCCAACCATTATAAAAACCTCTTTTGTTAGCCTATTATTTATGCTTTTACGTCGAGCTCGTTATGATCTCTCAGGTCGAGCTCATTATGACCTTTCAGGTCGAGCTCGTTATGCTCTGAGGTCGATCTCGTTGTGCTCTCAGGTCGAGCTCGTTATGCCTAGGTAGAGCTCGTTATGCTTTTTGGTCGAACTCGTTATGTTCAGGTAAAGCTTGTTATGACCTCTCAGGTCAAGCTCGTTATGACCTTTCAGGTAGAGCTCGTTATGACCTTTCAGGTCGAGCTCGTTATGCTTTCAGGTCGAGCTCATTATGCTTTCAGGTCGAGCTTGTTATACTTTCAGGTCGAGCTCCTAACAGATCGCGATCAGCTCCTAACTCTCAACACTCGATCGGCTCGGAATAGTTCGAGCTCTTTAGTTCGAGACTGCAGCCTATAGTGCAACAACCATTCAGATCAAAGACCTTAGTTTCTGAAGCGCGATTACACACTCCAAAAACTGGGGGGGCTTCTGTTATGCTTTAAAAGTCACGCTTATGTTAGCTTAATAAATGTCTTTTTGTACTAGTTGCCAAGCCCATATCTGCTCAAAGATATTCATACCAACCCTATCTCATTTCAAGAAATGAATGGACAAGAGCCTTCCACTGGACAAGAGCCTTCCACCGGACAAGAGCCTTCCACATGTCAAGGCAACTTGCAAAACACTCCTTACATTGAGTTCAGAGGTGTATAAATTGACACTTCTCTTCCCGGAAAAGGGGGCTGGACATATGAGAGCTAAAACATAGATAAGAGCTTAATTCTTTCTCTCTGTAAACACTGTATTTCTTCATCTTTGTATGTCTTATGGGCAAAATCATAGAAACAGTCACAGATCAATAAAATAACAGTGGATGTAGGTGTCGCTTGTTTCAGCATCCGAACCACTATAAAAGCCTCTCTTGTTAGTCTATTATTTATGTTTTCTGTAACATATATAATCTCAGCTCCATATTCAAATCTCATGGATCCATCACGTGTAATTTCTAAGATTCTCTTAGCACTTTGCATATGCGAGTCGTTGGTGTCCAAAATCAAGCGTCAACAATGAGAGATCCAGAAATTCTCTTTTGCAAACAAATTTTATTTAGCTTTTTTATTTGGTGTTGCGCGGGTGAGTATTAATGTTTGAATCTTGAAAATGATTAAAAATCACTAATTACTTTCAATAATAAAAGGATAAACCATTTCTTCTAACTTCATTGATATTGATCGGATTTATTTGGCTATTACTTGACCTTGTATCAATTGAACGAATACCAAACTATTTGCCCTAAAAAAGGGCAAAGAATCTGTTTATAATTATGAGTGAAATTGTAGCTAGATATTTATATTATGTGATCAACGTTCCAGATCGTTGAAATTAACAATCTCCAATTATTAATGACATCAATTGAACCCCATGCATGCGTCCGAACCGTCTAGGATCACGATGATTGATGGTATATTTTAGAGTAAAGGACGTTTTCTCACCCTAATAATGGTTTAATGATGGGTTCTTATCGACATATTTTTAAAATGTCATTTTATTACTTAAATTTATATTCTGTTTTCGATATCGTTGCGACTTCACACTATCATTATTCTCTTTTTTTATCATCACTCACAAAAACTTTTCAAACCCTACTCCACCATCCCCTCCAATTGCCTAAATTAAGCGATTAGGGTTTGCACAACTGCCACTCCTAAGTCAAATTTTAATTAATCCCAATCATTAAAATCCAATATTTCAGCACCAAAAGACTCGTTGGTCTCTCTTCTTCAAAAGTCTCAACAGTTTGGATCGAATTTGTTCTCTGTTCACCACTAGAATATAAATTTAGATAATAAAGTAGTGTTTTAAAAGTTTGTGTCTTGTGGGTGGAAAAGTGGCATTAAGCCATTATATGGGTGGGAAAAAGTCGTTAACTCTATATTTTAACCAAGAGCATTGAAGTGGGTGTCTTTATTGAATCGCTATCATATACCCCTCAAAAAATAAATACTATTTTATAGGGGAAAAATGAATTTAATTAAAGATAGGTACACTATTTGAACTACCAAAAAACCATCTGTAGCTTATCCTTATACAATACTATGTAGAAGCAAAACTTACAGTAAATAAATGGATCAAATTAAATACTTTTCTATATCCGGTTGACGTTTTAAAATTATTTTTGGAAAAGGAAACAAATGAGGTCAAAAAATTAGTTGAGAATACAAGTTTTCTGATAGAAAAAAGCATTAAATTATAGTCAATGGACAATAACATGTAGGTAGTTAGATCAACAGGTATATATGTAAAATCTCATTTAGAATCAAAGAAAATATATCAATTAGTCCAGCCCCATGTGTTTCATATTCAAGTACCATATTTTATTTATAGCAATATGAATTTAATTATCTCTACCAATTCAATGACATTATGATTTTTTTTTCTTTTTGATGAATTGGGCGTTCGGACCAGCTTTCACATTTCAATTAATCTTCTAAGACCATGAAACTACCAACAGGGTCTGAACTTCAGTGACCATTTCTATTAGTAACCTTGAGAACTCAAACTCAAGCAACCATATTAAATATTTATCTCACTCTTTTATCATCAACTAGACTCGAATTTAAAAAACAGTCATATTCTCTTCTACTCCTTTATCATTATGTAACCCTTTGGTTGTTCTTTATGATTAATTCAATTACCTCATCCGCTGTAGAAATTAAAGTTAATTTTCGTTGCTATTCCGTTCTTAAATAAGACTGCTAGTGACAGCGTTTCTGAACTATCTGACGGCAATAATTTGGATGATTCCATCAATGAACTTGACGGCTTTCTCACTCAAACTCTGCAAAATTGAAGTGTCAATCTGACAAAAACTTTTAGTACCATGATGGATAGTAAATATTTATAAAACAGTAACAGTACATAAACGCTGCTACTGCCTACTGGTACTCTAATGTGGGCACCATTGAAGTTCAAAACCTTCTTCTGCGATGGGCTTTTCCATTTTCAACAGGGTTTAATTAAGGATAGTTGCTTGTTCCTGCTGTGTCATTCTTCTGCTTAGATTGGAAACTGAATTAATGCTATTGAAATTAGATGGAGAAAATAGACCTTGTTTGTGGCCGACTGGAGGTGGGAATTGAGAGTTTTGAATGTTGAAAGATCATGAACATCTGTTTTGTCCATCTGGGTAGTTGCTTTAATTCATTGATGATCAAAAGCAAAGTCTGGCAACTTTTTCCAAGTATTGCATAAAGATAATAAATGATTTTGGATCACCTCCTTAATAATTTTAGCTGCAAATTAAATTCCCATCTGTCATTAGGTCAGTAGGAGTTGGTATGTACTAATCAGGCCTGCCCTAACCAACAATTGCAAATAATTAAATTAATCAAAATATTCACTTTCTAATGCCATAAATCTTCCAACCTTTTATTGAATCACATTGAGTTGCCGTTCTAGCTGAACACTGGAAAAGACTTAATAACCAAGGGCTCAATTAACCTCTAATCAGTGCTAAGCCCATTGTTGTGATTATAAGCTTTGAGGGAAGACCAAGTTTTAAATGGTTCCAAAAAGAGAGAGTATAGCCCAAGGGCCTAGCACGGCGAACTTAATTTAATTTACCACCGATGTTGGTATAATCATCCAACCATAGAAGTACCAAATTAAAGCAAATGGATTTAGCAATACACGATGTAGGAAAGAGTTTCTGTTGCTGCTAACCCCAACTAGGAAAGGTTTCCAGCAACTGTGCTCACCCATGTCAGGATAAGCCGTGGCTTATTCTCTTCACTTTGAGAAGCAGAAGAACTGAATCAATACAATATTTAATTGAATGTGTCAAAAGAGGCTCCAAAAATGTGCAACGAATGGTTCCTTACGGCTAGATGAACATTTAAGCACGGCTCGGCAGCCTTAAAATCAAGAACTATTAGAACGAGGGCTGCTGTAAGTGCAGTACATGACATGTTTAAACCCACATGCAAAATAGCCGACATTCTAATAATAGCAAGGTAAATGCAAGTCTTCCATGACAATTTCGTCCATCTCTTTGGCTTATCTTTCTTTTCTTCAACGAATTCTTGTGGCTTCCCAAGTTCAGCATCATTCATCATTCTGATATTCCCATGGATACCATATTTTGTGACCATTTCCTTCATTATTTGAGAAAACACATCAACTACAACACCCGAGACCCTATAGATATCACTTTCACTTAAAACACTTCTATGGCTTTTAAGACTCCTACCTGTTCTCATTTGGACTTGAGAAGCTAAATTCATGCACAAAATCACAAGAAACAGAGTTGGAATAGGAATAGGATGCTACTTAAAACAAGAAGAACTAAGTCCATGCCAATAAGAATGATGAAGTTTTAGCAGAAAGTAAGATTTTTGTCATTCAAGCAGGGCAAAAGTCAGGCAGTTTCAAGGCTGGGGAACTGAAGCAGTGTATAAATTAAGCAAAGCAGAGAGACCAAATATGGCGCGTAATTTAAAAATGTTCAATACACGTGTTGTGGAGTTCCCCTATAACTACAGAGTCAAGAATGTTGATCCCAAACAAAAAGCTGGCATGTGGATGAGAAATATTAGCAAGCTTACATTACAAAGAAAGATTCTGAAAATGCCATGAAAGACTTAAAACTTATACAGATGAATTTGATACTCGCAATAGAAATAGGCCACAAAGAAAATGGAACAGTTAAAAAGGAGGTCAAAAAATAAAAATGACAAAAGGATAGTAAAAGAGTAAGAGCAGAGCCATTACTTATAAAGCTTCTGAACAAGAATTAAACTAACACATGAACATTACTTATAAAGATTCTGAACAAGAATTAAACACATGATGAATATGAAATGAACTGAAATAAGTTCATTATTTAACTAACTGCATCATCAATCAATAATATTTGTAAAATATACACAATGAATCCAAAATGATACTCAACCAAAGATATAGTTGAATCCCATTACTTCAACTAAGATAAAGACAAGAAAAATAAAAATGTTTGGGTGGATACATAACCAGTACAGACAAACTCTGTTGTTCAACCATGTCACAACCCTGGTGCCTATAAGTCTGACTTATTCCTTTTTTTTCTAAATATTCAACCAAACTAGGAAATTATAATGAAGACAGGAGAGATATTCAGTCACATATGAACTTGTGCATGGCTACTTCAGCATTTCCCTTTTCTTCAATTTTAGTCTATTTCAAGCTTCTCTATATGCTCCTTTTGGAATGTATTCAGTTGTCTTGAGATCTAATGTTCCATTATTTCAAATTGGGTAGAATTGTTTCACTATAAGGCTAAGAAATCTTTGTCAGAACATGCTTCTGGATACTGATATGCTAAATCCAGACTATGCGTAAGGATTTTTCACGTTTCTGAAAAATGCTCTAATTGGGTATTTACTTCAAAGTTCAAACTACTCATGAATTCATGTATTAAAGACGAAATGATAATAAAATAGGGACTCAGACTAAAATTCCAATTAAAAGAGTGCAAAGTTCAAAAGAAAAAAGAATCTCCACATTGAACAATATATTGAGACAACATGAACAACAAACACCATGGTAAGAATTACAAACGTTAAAACTAAGAAAAAATATCAACATCTATGACAGAATATTCATCTAGCTTTTAGCAGCATATTAAAGTCGAAATGTATCCTTTGTGGTGACATCAGTGCACAAAATTGAGTATAGCTACAAATAACAGTACAATTTGAAAGTAAATAAACATGGAAAGGAGTCATTTTGATTCAGACGTGACACAAGTGTTGTTTCATTCCAATAGCAATCAAACAGGTATGACAAGCCATATGTCAAATAATTAGTGTTCAACAATGAGAAAAATAAATTAAATCTCATAAAATAATAAATTATATATAATTACAGGGTTGATAAAAAAACTCCACGTCATTTACAAATGCATTAAACTAAGAATTTGACTATCATAAGAGACAACAAGTCTCAGAACGACAGTCAGAAACAGGTCATAAAATCAACTTTCGATGACAGCGGATTTTTGGATTAGAACGATAGATTTACAACAGTGCAGTGAAGGCACCTACTAAAACTCCAGCTTATGCTTGTGAATTGTGAACTAAGCTTGTAGCTTTAGTGTGGAATCAGAGAATGCAACTCAATAAAACCTTCTGGATTAAGAACCTGCTCTTCTAAGCTCGCATCATAAACCTGCTCCTACATTCAAGTTGCAGTTCACTTCTCATCCACAGAGAATTACTCCAAGGTTCAAAGTAAGCTCCTTGTACTCTTTTGAAAAAGCTAGGAAACCGAGTAAGACCAGAATCCACAAGTACCAAAATTGTGGACATCAAACAATGTAAAGATGCCATTCCCTCGCATCAAACAATGTAAAGATACTATTTTCTCACATCAAACAATGTAAAGACACCATTTCCTAATCAATAACCCAACTAACCCTTTCCCAATCAGAATCCCCTCACTGAACTCTGCCAAACCTCCACAGATTGCTGACCCTTACGCGTTACAAACATCTTGTTGCCTCCAAATGCCAAATTGGTTATCCTCGAACCTCCCATATCCTTCACTCTTCCCATCAAATTCTTCCTAAACACCCGCTGTTCCAACAACCCACCTTCACTACTTTTTTTCGAACCCATCACAATCTCTGACCAGAACTCTATATCACCTCCTTTTGCGCAAAACACTTGGTTCGAATGACTCTCGATCTTACATCCAGACCCTTCTTTCTTCCCATTAACAACTTTGTTCTGATCACCAAGACAAACCCACGTACTCATATCTCCCAATTTCCTTAAATCCATATAAGAAACCTCCCCAGAACTGATACCAACTTTATAAATTGCCGATAAATTATCAGATACGGTGACATCGGAAAAGCAATCCACCTTATCCTTAACCTCCCACACAATATTACCAGATCTTAAATCCCACAATTTGATATCCCCCGACACCCCAGAAATGGCACTATGTGATCCAGCTGACATAAGCAAATTATAACCCGAAAGCCACCTCAACTTATTAGCTGGAATCGCAGAATCTATTTCAGCACCATAAATCTCATTATGGCCGATCTCACTAACGGGTTTCAAACTAGTAATATCATAAACCATAATAGAATTCGAATTTCTCCTACCCGACTCAAAACTAACAAACAAACAATCAGCTGATGAACCAATTGCTTGTACAGTACAACTAGACTTAGTCATATTTTCCCAATTCAAAGTCTCTTTCACATACCCTTTCTGAAGATCAAGAACTTGCAGCCCAGAAAAATCACTGGCACCGGCTGCAGCAACACTTGGAGACATCGCTAACAAAGAATCGATAGCAGCGAATTGAGTCAAAATTGTAGACTTCCTTCTCATGGACCAGTCAAAGGACGTAATTTTACTTCCGTGAGAAACATGAAGAGTCCCATACTTGGTCGTCGCAATTGTAGACGGCGAGTCACGGCCATTTAACGGCATTACCAACGATTTCTCGAGGTTGAAAGCGTCAAACTGCGAGGGATTCGACTGAGAGCTGACCAAAAGCGATTCAATATTGTAAAACTTGGACTCTTCGATCAGGTCTTCAATATCAAAAGCTTTAGCCTTGGACGGGAGATTCCCAGTTCGCAATAGGGACAAAAGTATAGAGAACAACTCGGGATCACGGTCAACGAATCGGTGAGTGGACTGAGCGAGCTGGGAGAGGATGGAATCAGGTCCAGCTAGGGTTAGGGTTTGTTTAGTGGTTTGGAAGATTTGTCCGCCCACATCAATCGTAACCACATTTGATTCCAAAGGTTTCCTCAAATTGGAAGGTGGCATCGAATTTGCAACTGAAATTGAGGGCATTATAAAAGAATCAAAAACCCTAATTTCTTAAAACTCATAAAAAGAAAATGGAGAGAGCGATTAATTTATATGAAATGGAGGGAAATTGTTGAGTTGGGTTAGTTTGTTCTAGAGTGTCAAAGATGGGTTTCAGGTCAAAAATAGGAGAAAGAATCTTAGCGAAACTTTGCAGTGAACGGTCTTGATTTAGCCGTCCAAGATGGACCCTTCGGTTGGAGGTTGTTTGCTACCTGTTAACACGAAGGATTAATAATTCATATGCTCTTAATTATCATATTTACTCATGATTAAGCATGATTTATTATTATATTCAAAAAGTCTGTTGGTTGGTTAGGTTTTAAGTTAGATGATTTGAGTCATATTTTACCAACTTTATGCTTTGTTGTGAGTGTTCCACGTGCGGATCCTTTCATAGATTATGCGCAGTCCATGACCATAATATAAAAATAAAAAGCAAGTTCAATGAACCAAGCTTTATGGGTTATATTAAGGATGCTTTAATCACTAACCAAGTTCAAAGAAGGTTCTAATTATGCTTTCCTTTTTAATGGATTCCATTCTCTTCTTTAAAGAAAAAGATTAAAGTTTTAGCCATTTAATGCTCTTGACTTGACTTCTGCAGTACAAGAATATTGCGAAAAAATAATTAGTGGCATCATTATTGTTACTATTCAACCATTCATTTATAATACATGTGGAAAAAGATGAAGATACAGAGCTAAAAACTGATGTTAATCCGTCTTCCTGATGTTTATATATTACACTATGCAAAACTAAACAAAATATACCCCAATTTTCCCCCCTGTTTTTAGGTCACGAAGGACTCTAAAAAAACAGCCTTCATGTGTATGCTATTTGCTAGACAATTGAATACACCTTCCCATCTATCTATAACACCAAAACTGTCTATTATTTGTTGTGTTGTGTTATCCCTATAATGCTCCATAAAACATGGAGGAGGGACAATAAGTGTTGAGCATACTAGTTAGTTAGCTCACACCTGGCTGCATCATAGGGAAGAAGGCCCAATTCTTAATGGCCCCGGTATCCTTCCCAATTACCTTCTCATTTGCCCACCACTCCGAAGCAAGATTAGGCTCACATGAATCTCCATCTGCATTGTCAAAATTAAATTCTTTGCTAGAACCTAGTGTGATAGACTGCTGCTTCTGATGCTGTGGTGCTACTTCCACATCCGCTGGACCATTTTCTGGTGTCTCATTGGATGTTTCTCCAACACGGCACTGATGAACATTTTCAAATTTTCTGGGAGTTTCTTCTCTCTCAGCAGTTGCCCCACTCTGTAGAGATTCTGATACAGCTTCAGTCAATGTTGTTGGGTTCTTTTCTACACATCTTACAACATCCTCGGCAGTTAACTCAAACGAGACTCTATGCCCAACAACCTGGTCATTTTGGAGATCATTCTCGGACGGCGACTGCAGAGCAACCTCAGAAGTCTTATGGTCCAGAAGAAAACCATTGCGAGGAGTGGACCTTACGGTATCTGGGGTCAAAGATCCAGAACCTTGACATGACCCCCACTCACGGGTAGCAAGTTTATCAAGGTTCAACAGTTTGGGAGGATCACCCCTCCGGAACTCAGGAAATTGAGGAACCCCAGCAGCAAACTCACCATCAGGGAAAGGAGAGGAGGTGCCTGAACCTGAGATGCCGGAGCTAGGTGAGATCAGGTGACCGACTGGACTTCCAGGATAAAGGTGATAAGATTGAAATTCATATTGGGAAAATGGATATCTCTGACCACCGTCACCACATCGGAGATTTGGTTCAAGAAGCTGTGCAAATGGCACCTCAGGTGAGGAAGGTGTAGTTAAGTGAACAGACTCAGGAGGCGGAGTGAAAGGAGCAGTCGATGGCTCAGTGGTGAAGGTCGAGAAGACAGGAGGCGAGACTAACTGGGTTTCATGAGCATAAGGACCAATAGCAAAAATTGAGGCAGGCCCACTTGGGGAGTACATATTGGCAGATATAGAGTTAAGAGAAAGTAAACCTACTGGCGATTGTGCAGCAGAAGGGGGTTCTGATTGAAGGAAAGATGCAGGGGAGGAGGGAGGTGCAATGAAGGGAAGAACGAAGGCAGGTGCTTGAGTTGGATTTTCCGCTGTTGATGCATCAACTCGGGAGGCCATTGGTTCAGGAACGCAGACAGCATGCCCAATTCGTTTTCTGGGCTTGTGAAATCCAAAACACCAGTACATACTCAAGCAGCCACCCCATCTTCTCTTCTGCATACGCAAGAATAAATAAGGTTCAGAAATTTTTACCAAAATCCTATTTCCTTCACCAAAAAAATAAAATAAAATAAATAAATAAATAAAAATCAAAGACCAGATAGTTAATGAATGATTCAAATAAAAACTCCGTTTAACATTTGCCAATCAGTTCCTGGGCTTCACTCCATCTTTCTCAGATCAGAGACTGCAGAAACTGCCAGTTAAGGCCTCATTAATTTGAAAACAGAACAATTCAATTGTAAAGATACTAGATCAATGCATATATATCATGTCTCCTTTATCTGCTTCCATGAGCACCCAAGAAAGCTCAAACGTACATAGAAGAGGCAAAGAGCAATCGATGTTACAATCCCAGTTACATTTCATAAGCTAGAATTACAGATACTGAAAGGGAAATTTACACTCCAGAAATGCCTTTCTACATCAATAAGCAACCAAGAGGAAACAAGTAAACATGTGTGAATCAACAATATCTTATAAGAGTAAGGCACCAAATCCAATTGGATGCTGGGAAGCTACATTGGTAAGACTGCAATTACCTCAAGTTGTCAAATTAACGAGTAAACCTGTTATCTGAGCAATTAACAACATCATCAGGCATTGGTTTCTTACATACGTTTTCTAATCAAAGCTACCAGTTGGTAAGTATCAAGAAAAGGAAGCACCGAAGCAAGTACGTTAGAAACCTATTGCAAATCTGACGCACAGGCTTCCAACCACTTCATGCATTATTTAAAAAAAAAAAAATTGCATTTTCACTCTGTTTTGACTGGTTTGAAAACACCTGATGTAGTTTCATGCTCAGTAAAATAGACATAATCATTTTGTCCTAGCATAGGCCTCCAGTACGGGTGGGACTTTGCTACAGCAAAAAAAAAAAAAAAAATATATATATATATTTGTCTTCTTTTAATTTCAGAAATAGCAAAAAATAAGTTCCTCTAATTTTCGAAAAGAAATGCCGATCATTCATTCATATGTATTCTGATTCAGCCTTAACCGCAAATGCATAATTAAAAGTCTGTTAAAATAAACATATATGTGTGGGAGCTTCCGATGTTTAAATCAACAACTACAACTCAATTGCAAACCACACCAAAAAGTTAAAATAAAAAGCAGTTCCTTCATCTATTTAGAGTAGTTTATTATGTGAAATTTTCAAAATTCGCCAACTTCAGTAATTACAGGTACCAAATCATTAGTTCAAAAACAGAGCAAAAGAAAGAAGCAAAAAGGCTACAACTTGGAACTTAATAAAGCAGCATAATTTCTTCTAGTAGAAGTGACAAGTCAAACTTCAAAAAGCTACCCACGCTAAAGATTCAATAGACACTTTGGAAAAACTTTCACGACTTTTGAAACCAAAACAAACGGCAACAAATCACCACAACAATTGCCAAAATTCACGTAGAAAAAAAAAATCACCATAATCAACAAAAACAAATAACAGAACAGATCTTAAATCTAATAATCAAATAACCAAAAAACATAAAAAAAACAACTACCAAGATTAAAAATAAAATTAAAAAAAAGGGAGAAAATGATTCACCTGAACCGTAGCTTGAGGAACACGATTCTCAGCTGAAGCGATCGCAGTAGCAGCCGCGCTTATAGTCTCCAAAGTGTTGTTCAAAGCTCTTGAATCTCCATTAACGCCTCTCATCTTTCTCGAGAAATATCAAATTAAATTTTCCCGAGAAAGTGATCAAACTCGAGAGAGAGAGAGAGAGGGAGAGAGAGAGACTAAGATTTATAGAACAAGCTATTATTCCAAGCTTTAAAAAAAAAAAAAAAAAAAGAAATTAAATCAAATCTAAATCTGGTTTCAAAGTTTATGAGATATTAAATTTTCTCTCTCTAAAACTATAGTTTTTATTATATATTTTATAATAAAATGTTTTTATGTTATACATACATTTTCGTGTTAAGAAACCCTTTTGAGGTCAAACACGGCAGTGACTTGGTTCGTATGAGATAAACGGAGACACGAGGTTTAGGCTAGAATAGTTATATAATTGATGTACATTTATGTCCTTGTTGTTGACTTGTATTTACGTGAATTGAATGAAGGTAGGTGGAGATAGGTGAGGAGGGTAGTTTAGTCTAATAAATGAAAAAGGTAATTAAATAAAAGAATTATAGTTAAGCGAGAATAGGTATATAGATTAGATTACAGTAATGAATGTCAAATGTGTGCACGTGTGCTTGTGGCCATCCACTTTCTCCATCCATGATGGCTTTCGTGCGCACATAACCCACTGCGTATGATAGGCCCCATCCCTCTTCATTCAACCAACTTCTCCATCATAATAACTGTTTCTCCATCCCTGAATATTACAACAAGGTGATGAAGATGGAATAAAGGGCACATAGGAAAAAGGGGGCTTTTTGACAGATATAAGACCTTTTTAATGTATAGATTTCAGGCACTAAAGATTTTAACTTTTGCTTTTGGGTAACTTAAAACTTTAGATGTATCAAAAGCCTAATCATCAAAAGCTTAGTGAATGGGTCCAGTGAAACGTGCCAGTACATGTGAATGTGAATGTGATTCTGGTCTTGCTGATGAAGTGATGAGAGCAAAGAAGAATATATGATTGTTTGATTTGCTTTTGGATTTGAGTAATAAAATCCTTACAAAAGTTTTTGACATCATAAAACAAAGTTTTTATCAATGGCAATCATGCCTCTAACTCCTTCAAATAGGTTGTACATTCATACACACCTGATTGTCCAATTATTGCTGGCACTTCTCTTACCATTTCGTCACCCCTTACATAATCAACTAAGTTTTCACGCTTAAATACATGGTGGGGGCTTCAAAGTTCATCATCCCAAATTTTCTTAATTTTACATTGGAGTATCATTGTTTTAAAACCCAGCTCAACCAGGCCAATTGAATCGATTCAACCGAGACCTGAGGCATTCACCGAGTCGGGTTACAATTTTTCCTATTCATTGAAAACCTTAAAAATTAGGACATCAATCAATAAACAATTGAAGAATAGGATGTTAGGGGTTTTGAAGAGAATGGGCCGATGAGTGGAATGGTGACGATGGAGGTGATTTCTAATGAGTGAATCGACTGAAAATCGCAAAACTAAATCGTCGAAAAAAGTCTTGATGTTACCAATGATTGCGGAGGCCAACGGGACAGGGGTGAAATCAAATGGGCTTTGGTCAGGAGGCTAAGAGGAGTATTTTCGTTTTGATGCGGAGTGTTATCGTCGTCGAAAACATACCCTATTTGCCAAGGAGTATTTTCGTTTTGATGAGGAGTGTTGTCGTCGTCGAAAACATACCCTCTTTGCCAAGGAGTATTTTCGTTTTGATGGGGAGTGTTGTCGTCGTCGGAAACATACCCTATTTGCCAACACCGATGGTGATGTTTGAAGTGTTTTTGCAAGATTTCAAACCTATAGGGATTTACAATAACTTTTAAGGATATTTTTGTTAGATTTCAAACTTTTGGACACCAATCAACCCAGACCAGCCCCTTTGCCGGATTTCACCCCCGAGTTGGGTTTTAACACACTGTTGGGTATTGATTTATAAACCATTCACTGTTTCTCAAAAAAATTCATTCTAGTTGAGTCATATTCAATCACAAGGGCAGTAAAAGGAAAGTAAGTAAATAAAGTTATCCCACATGTACAAGATTTTTTACATTAAAAGTTAAAGCCACTCCATTTCCATAACACAAAGTTTTTGATAGTTTCTATAGCATGAAGATGGAGAGCAAAACATGTCGCCATTACAAGTTCATCACATAAAATGTGGGACAATTCATTTATTTAATTTTCATATCACAGCTATGACGGACGGTGTTTAAGGCATTTAAGCAGCAGCTAAGCTTTTTGAGGCAATCTCGAACACATTTTCTGACAGCCCATTAGTTGACATTATCATCTCCAGCTGTGCCTGCACATACACATCACAGTATGTTATGTCTATTAACATAACCAAACATCATTTCATAACACCATTCTACACCAGCAATGGCACCACCGGATCCTTACCTTGGCAAGCTTTTGGCGTGATTCATCGAAGCGCCTCCATCTTGAGAAGGCTGACACCATTCGTGATGCCACCTGCATTATGTAGATAAGAATAAGAAGCGACCAAACAAAAAGAATTAAATCAAAATATATACAACCAGCAAACCCAAGATTTTATAGACCTATACTCTATACAAACCTGAGGATTCAGTTTGTCTAGTTGGACCACAATTTCTCCCAAGAATTTATAGCCCGAGCCATCCTTAGCGTGGAAATTCACAGGAGAACCACAAAATCCTCCAATGAGTGAGTATACCTATTGCAAAAGATATTCCATAGTCTCAATGAGTGAGCACATACTCCTCCAACATAAAGGAATGAATGACGATCACATGAGTGTGCATGCAGACTCTGCAAAGAGACAGACATAACACTTACCTTATTTGGATTACGCAGGTCAAATGCTGGATGGTTTAAAAGTTTACGGACATTCTCAACGTTACCAGGAACATCAGACACAGCTTGAAGGGTAAACCATTTATTCACAACCTGACAGAAGAGGAAAATGAAGTTGTCCAACAAAAACATTAGGCAACTATCACTGCAACAACTCTCATTAAAAATCACAAAGCGAAGAAGAATTTTTAAATGGTTAAACACCGACAAGGGGAGAAGATTGATAACAAAGTTCAATAATGGTACATAATTTTCCAATTGAAAAGCAAACGACAATAAGTTAAATAAAGTAGTAGGTTTCATTTTCTGCTGGTGAAAAACTTATACACAATGTGCTATGGTAAAAGGAAACTACATAATTTATTTCAGAATTTCTGATATTGGTTTAAAGAACTTCAAAAAATTAGTTATAGCAGAAGATTGTGGACAGTGTTATAAGATCGAATTTGGCCTTGAGTTTAACTTGGTATATCTATTAACTAATCACTTAAAAAAAATTAAATTCATGAACTAATGCAAAAATGCAATTAAGAAAAATCAATGCCCATTTTACCCCAAAAAAAAAAAAAAAAAAATTTACATTCCCAAACAACAACCTCACCATTTAAGAGCAACAGAGAAATACCAACACGACTAATAAAGATTTCACTTAAGCAACAAGCAGGTATTAAATTAGAAGATTACCAAATAGTCATGCTGCCACTTGCTGTAGAAGTCATCTAAAGCATCTTCGCGAGTTTTACCAGGGATCTGATCCAGGGCTGCCAAAGCTGCAAATTGTTCTGTCATATTTGTGGCAGTTCTATACTCATGCAATGCAAGTTCAGTAATCTCTGGTTCTCCAAGTGATGCAAGGTATGCTGTAGATCAAACATAGATATAAGTAAAAGGAAAGTTTTACTGTGCCAATTTTTGAAATAAATAAGTTAAGCAACACAGACCAAGGGCAATATTCTTCAGAGCACGCCTGGCCATATTGGCATGATTAAACACATACTCTTCCGAGCTCTTATTTTTTTCAATCTGTGAAAAACAGAAAGATCAAGTTTATTCATCAAGAGAGATCAATCAAAAAGATAAAACCAAAAGACAAGGATTGATGATTATAGTTTATGCCACTCCATGGAAGATGGCCTACCGTGGTCAGAAACTCTGCTTTCAGTTCTGACGCAAGCTGCTTCCGAAGGAAACTTCGAACGGCATGTACAGCATCTGGATCTGCAACTTCCATCAAGTCCATAATCTCTCCTTCACCCGGTAGAGTTATAGCCTTTGCAATGAATTCCTGGATATTTAAATGCAATTTAAGTTGATATGAGCATTCATCTTCCTCCCATACACCCCAAAACAATAAATAAATAAATATCTACAGAAACCCCAGAATCCAATCTGAACAGGAAGCCCTTATCATACCTTGTCCAAGCTTGAATCACAAAGTATACTTCTGAGGCCATGCACAAACTTTGGATTCAGAACCAACGGTTTGTTTTGTTGAAAATCAGCCACCAAGCTCAGCATCAGTTTCCTAGCCAATAGTTGCCCAGCTTCCCAACTAAACAGAAACGTCATCTCATGAATAAGTTTCAACAATTCACTCAGAAATATGATAAAAGAAGATTGTTGCTCCGGGAAAGACAAACCGGTTGAACTCATCCGAATCATGAGCAAGGAGGAAAAAAAGATCACTATCAGATAGATCAGATTCAAGACGGATAGGAGCACTAAAACCCCGCAAGAGAGATGGAATTGGCCGCTCAGGTATATCGGAGAACACAAATTCTTCTTCTTTCTGCATTGTAACAATATAAGGGAAAAAAATTTAACATTATGGAGAAAGATATGACTTAATATGCTTCTAGCTCTTAAAAACGGCAGCTTGACATTTTCATATAAGCATTTTTTAATCTATTTTACAGCCCCAAGCCTTCTATGTCAGCATCAATAGAAAGGAAAGAAAGAGTTGAGCAATACCAAAGGGCTTTGCCAATATAAGAATCTAAAACTGTAAAATACGTAAAATATATATATATAAAACCAGAATAGCTTCATAAAAGGTTTTAACTGACCTTTGTTACTCGAAGAACTGTAGTGTAGACTGGATGAGTGTTGCCCGCAATAGATTGCAATGTCCCATCATGATACACAGAGGAGAGTGGCAAGTCCTTGCCACTTGAAGCCAGCAAACCTACTGATACAGGAATGAACATGGGCTCTTTCACTGGCTGCCCGGGGGTTGGTGGTACCTCTTGACTGAAAATCCCCCCATCAAGGAAAAAGTTATCACTGATTATCATTAGAAAGGAAAAGTTATGGATTATCACAATTATAACCTTAAAATGTGTACCTGAACTTCAAAGAATAAGCACGAGTTTCAGCATTGTAGGATGAAGTGACTTTCACACGAGGAGTCCCAGCTTGGGAGTACCTGAAATTTTCATTATATGTAAAAACATTAGCATTGAAACTATCAGACAGAAG